GGAGGGTTGTGAGTGGTAGTGATTGATTCTGTATCATCCATCGTCAAGTCGACGTATGCGGGTTTAAGACGAGCAATGCTCACAGACTCCTTGGATCCATTCTTATCTCGAAGGAAGTATTTCGGCTTCCGCAAAAAGACCTTGAATAGACCTTCACAAGGCGGTGTCAAGGGTCTTCGCACAGCATCAAGCCGTATAAAACGAATGGACACGTGTGTAAGCCAGGATGTATACGCTGCTCGTGCGTGCTTAGTCAAGGTGGAGTCGGCTTAATGGATCGAAAATGGGGCTTCAGGCGTTCAGCATAGGACGTAGGATTCAGTTCGCCGGTGATTCGTGGGTCTAGTATCACGTCGCCTGGGAGTCTGAGGCTTGTGCCAAAAACAAGTTCGGCTGGGCCGCATCCGATATCTTCTTTGACGGTATTGCGAATACCAAGAAGAACAGCTGAAAGGCGTTCAGACCAATGGCATCAGGCAAACTAGCTGTAATGGCAGCTTTCAGTTTTCGATGAACTCGTTCGGCACGGCCATTGGCAGCAGGATAATAGGCAGTCGTCTGAAAATTAGTACAACCGAGCAGTCGACTCAAGTCACGGAAAAGGGTGGAACTGAATTGAGGTCCTCTGACAGTAGTGACAGTAGCTGTCACACAGAAGAATGGAATCCACGATTCAACGAAAGCACGAGCAACTGTTTCAGAGGATATATCACGTAAGGGAATTGCGTGGGAAAACGAGTAAAACGACCAACACAAGTCAACAGCTAATTGAAACCGTTAGAACCCGGTAATGGTCGTACTGCAAGGTGAATGTGTTTGAAACGGGCTTCGTGGAGTGTAGAAGTACCAGGAGTTGTAACATGTGTCTGTGAACCTTGCTGATTTGACAACTAAGACATGTTTTAGCCCATTGTCGGATGTCTGTGCGCATATTGAGCCAGATGTAACGGTCGGTAATTAGCTTCACAGTAGGTCGAATACTGGGGTGCGATAATCAATGATGTTCAAAGACCGCTCGCCAGTAGGGCTGTAGGTCAAACGGTCTAGGTTTACCGGTGGAAATATCGCAGTAGCTTCTAGCGTCAGAATTAAGCACAGGCAATTGCAAGTTTTAAGGAAGTGTTCGACCGAAACTGTGTTAATTCTGGGTCACTGGCTTTGGCAGCAGACATTTGCTCTAGCTCTATGTGCGAGCGTGAAAACTGATGGATATGTGCAAGGGAAAATCCGTCGGGCAACAAGGTTGTTTGGACCGTCAATATAGCGAATAGCAACACAAAATTGGGTAAGAAAATCAAGATGTCGAGTCTCTCTAGGGGAAAACGGTCAGAAGTTGCACGAAAAGCATACACAAGACACTTATGATCCGTTAAGATAACAAAACATCGACCGTCAAGAATGTGACAAAATGTTTTACAACCATGTACATGGTAAGGAGCTCTCGACCGGGCGTACTGTACCTGGTCTGAGCAGGTTGAAGCTTCTGTGGGAAGAAAGACAAAGGTTGAATTTCGTTATCCACGAGCTGCTGCAATACGTTACCAACGGCGGCTGGTGAAGCGTCTGTCTTAAAGATGAGAGCGACGTTGTCGTCCTTTCTCAAGTAAGCGAGTGAAGTAGCTTGGCTCAGCTTTTGCTTGAAGTTGTTAAACACTGCATCGGCGTCTGGAGTAAAGGGGAACATTTTGGGAGTACATTTTGCAAATCCGTTAAAGGTTGAAGAGTTGCAGCACAGCCATGCATAAACCATGCGTAGTAGTTAACCATGCCAAGAAAACAGCGGAGCCTTTTAACGGATGGTGGCAATGGATAATCCAGTATGGCTTGCGTTTTATCAGTCAAGGGGCTAATCCCGTTGGTGTCAATGCTGTGACCTAGGAAGTTGAGGGAAGTTTGGTCAAATACGTATTTATCAGGGTTAATGGTGACACCATGACGTTCGAAACGTTCGAAAAATTTTCGTAGACGTGTTAAGTGTTCGTCGGCAGAATCACTTGCAACTAAAACGTCATCAATGTAAAAAAAGACAAAGGCAAGTCCACGCAGAACTCGATCCATGAAGCGTTGGAAAGGTTGCGCGGCATTTCGGAGACCGAATGGCATACGGAGAAATTCCTACAAGCAAAAAGGGGTGGCCACTACCGTTTTGCAGTATCATCCGGGGCCATGGGAATTTGGTGATAAGCCCTGACAAGGTCAAGCTTAGAAAAGATGCTTTTCCCGGACAATCCCAATGAAAAATCATGAATATGAGGGATAAGATATCTGTCGGGGGTGGTAACGGCTTTGAGTGCCCGGTAATCACCTCATGGACGCCAAGCACCGGAACTTTTGGCTACCAGATGAAGCGGGGAAGCCCAACAACTGTTGGATGGGCGAATGCTTCCTAAGTTGATCATGTGCTCGAATACATATTTAGCCGCTTGGATCTTGTCAGGTAGAAGTTGGTTTGGTTTGGCTGACATGGGTGGACCTATGGTGACGAAATGATGACGAACCTCGTGTTCAGGCTCAGTAGAGTCGGCATTAGAAAGGACCAAAAACGGGAATTGCTGAAGCAATGATGGATACGGCGTAGTGCCTTGCATGAGTACGTGAAGTCCGCCAGAAGTGGATGGGGAGGGATGGCAAGGGACAGAGAGCGAAATGCTGTCGTCCCGTAACTTCCTGCAACCTAGGTCGACAATGAGGCCGAATTCGATAAGGAATTCGATGCCAATTGGCTGGCTAGCCGAACAACCTCCTCGTGGTGCCAGCTGGGTGGTTCGGGTTTAACCCGTTCCAGCAAATACTTCGGCGGCAGTGTTCCAGGACGTGGTGGGTTTTCGCCCGTCAAGCGTTCTCCCTATAAAAAGCCACAAATGTCTGCTTATCAACACTGTGACGTGGCGGGTGTGACTCGCCACAAAATAAGGTCACTGGCCCGTGGACATCCGGAAAATGGTATCCAACCCACGGACGGCAATCGCTTATTCTCACATTCCTACCGATAACAGTCAAAAATTCTGCGGCACATTGAAAAATACAAGCTACATTCATAGACAGTCGCATACATATATACACCCATGCACTTACATTCACTATTATGCCAAACATGTATTCTTTGGACATTTTGATCACACTATGTTAGCAAAACGTGATCATGCCTGTACAGGTGTGCCTCGCATTGTCGAGAATAAAACTTTATTTATTTATTTATTTATTTGTAGGTTTCTGGAAACCTGCGATGGTAAAGATAAGAAGAAATGCGTCGTAAACCAAGGCTGAGTTGCAACAGATCCTGTCCGCATGTCGCGACCTTAGTCTGGTTAGCCGCCGGTAACGTAAGTCCGGCTTGTTGCAGTGGGCGTATTTCCAACGTTCGTGGTATAACGCTGATTTCCGCGCCCGTATTGACCAAAAAATGATGTTTGCTCGTGGAATCAAATACGTATAAGATGCGACTGATAATTTGGCAAGCGGCAGCCGTCACCATTACTGGCTGGCTTTGACGTTTTCCGATTTGGAATTAGCGAAAGCCTTTGGGTGAGTACACCCTGGGCGGCAGTTTCGTGCAGCATTACTAAACCGATTATGGAGGTAGAAATAAGAGCGGAATGCTCGTCTGCGAGAGTTGCTGCGAGGCATGCTTGTGGAAGAGTGTCTTTGGTACGGTATACGAGTGCGGCTAAGGTGAGAAATGCTGAGTTCCAACTTTGAGAGCCTCTCACTAATGGAGTCTAGTGTGGCAATTGCTGAAGTGCTTGTAGAGGACGCCTCAACCACATGAATCACCGCGCTTTTAAAGAAATTTTCGTGTAATGTGGGCCGCTTCCGCCACCTTATTCAGTGAAACGTCCTCAGCCAATACAGCTAGTATTGCCGTCGTGTTAGCTGGAAGACACTTAAGCCAGAGTTGGCGAAGAATGGAATCATCCAAGGTTGCTGTACCGACAAGTGATCTCATACGTCGTAGGAGCTGAGGCGGTGTACGATCACCAAGCTGTGCTCCCGAGAGTAGCGGTTGGAGGTATGACTCATCGGATGAGGTAGTGCGTTGTTAGTTGGCTACCTTAAGCTTATCTTAAGGCTAGTCAATCGGCGTAGAGTCGAGGATATTAATGATTTCTGAAGCCACGTGTGTAGCTAAGTGAGCAGTAACCTGTGAAAACATGGTAGACTGCGGGGTAATCGTACGGAAACGAAAGATAGATTCGACATGAATAAACCAAACAAGTGGGTTCGATACATCGAAGAATGGCAAAGAAAAGGAAACGGAATTTCCTGATAACTGTTCACATGAAGGTTGATCATACATAATGAAGAAAAAAGTAAGGTTTCCAAAATAATACGGGGTCACCAATTAAGTAGGGGACCGTTACCTAATGAGTCCGAGTGCGGGGGCAACGTGCAACCTTAGGCAAAAACGCAAATAGAAGAAAAATCACTACACTTGCGTTATAGTTCCTTCTTCAAACGATGTTAGTCCCATGCCGACTAGAGATTTGAAGATATAAATCCGACTAATGGATAGACGTGGCAGCAGCACAAGCGGAGGCAGCAGCAAAACGAAAGCAGCACGACGCGAGCGTGTAGAAATTGTTGTATTGTTAATTTGTGAATGTAAACAAATGGTACAAAATGATCGGTAACGGAAATAATAAAAATTAAGATAAAATACAGTTAATCACAAGCACTACAAATTTCCTCTGTGCTCCTGGCGTCCCACAATTTGGTGAGCTAAGGGTATTCACGACCCATCCCAACATCCATCATAGCTCAACGGAACTGGTGACGAATGGCGTTAAAAGCTTTGTACTATCGTGTCAAACCGTCCTATAACGTTGCAATTTAAATTTTGTTTTCGATTTTTGTATTTGTCGCTCAGAACCTACTTAATTAAAATTTTACAATTTGTTAAAACAAGGCAGCAAGTCAGTTGGAATATTGCGACATAGTACGGCTAATCACATTGTGATTTTTACAACGGCCAATCTAATTACGTCAAGGTTATATATATCACCGCGCTTCTCAAATTCTTTCAATGCTGTATTGGGAGCGAGGATTGGCTCGAACACAGGTGTGCGCAGCAGAGTAAAGCTGAACAACAGGCTGAAAGGAGCTTTGAGAAAAAGACAGTGTAACCTGTATGTTAAACGTGTTATATAAAATATTATAATTATGGTTTTGTGTAAATTATACGATGTCATGGTAGACGTGTTCATATGGTATCGTAGGCAGGTATTAATACTCAGATGCTAAATTATTTATACACCACACATAATGTACACTGTGTCTACCTAATAGCAATGCACGCACATAATTAAACTATTTTTTAATCCTTAAAGGTGTTATATAAATACTAGATTTTGTAAATAATTGTCTGTCATAGACCTTACGTAATATGTACTGCACATACGAAATATTATTATACATACACATAATCACATGCATACGTATAATATATTGTTACAATATTTAAAAGTATATTTCATTTATAGTAAACAGCGTAATTTGTGCTCTAAATCGCATTATTCGCAGCCAAACATTACACCCGTTCGGTCCGAGTTACTCCCTACACACCTCTCTCGGCAAGAAAGTGTCAACAATCGTAGGCAATAATTTTTAGGCGTCCGTATTCTTAGGTTTGATACAATTATTCAAGCATAAATATATCACTTTTTAAAAGTAACACTTTTCATGGCAGTATTAAGCGATCGCAATCAAAAATTCCGTTTTGCATCACGATAGTTATGTCGAGGTTTCAGAATATATATAGCAAGAAATACCTTCTCTGATAGCACGAGTATCTGATGAGTGCCAAATTCCCGTTCAGTTCCAATCCGATGACTGTCCGATTTCCATCGGAACAAAGTTATGACGGGCCAAAGTTCGGAAGTAAATCTTAATGTCAGTAAACGTGGACCGCACAACCCCATATTGTTTCCATCTCTTTCCATTATCTATCCTTATCAAGTACTGTTTCTTATCGATATTTCACGCACCATTTATTGTCACTGAAACCAAAGTAACTCTCTTTTAGTATCCGAGCTTGCAAACCTGTAACGTTGATAAGCAATCCGAACAATATAATGCTGAAGTCCCCTGATGCGCAAAGATATGGAGGGATTAGGCGTCTGGCTTAATTTATTCTTCTTAAGTACCGCTTTCCCTCTCCACACATTGCTTTCACTCTGACAACGGACGAAAATCGGACACTCAGAATTACTCTCACAACTGGTTATGACCTAATCAGAAACACTTATATCACGTGTATCTGCATCATTTTGGTCATTCTCACTATCCTGATCACATTGTTCCCATATTGTGCAACCTTCGTTTTTCATACACCTATTTCACCAAATTGGACGAAAATCAGACACTCAGAAGAACGATCACAACTTACTCAAATCGGTGGACTTGTAATGGAAAACGCATTTCTTACGCAGTGTTGTGTCATTCGGATCATTGACGCAGCGTGCAGATATAAAATTAACCCTCTTGACACTTTGTTAAAACCCGTGAAGAGTCTATCCTGGAAGCATAAGAAATCTTTCAAGGCAGTTATTACATTCGCATTTATTTGTCATGCGACGGTTCTTGATGCAGCGGTCGATTAGTCTCTTTCACCGACCTGCTGAATTCGTCTCATTTTGTTCGTGATGACATTCATTAGCACCGGCGAAATCCTTGCGCATGACAGCATCTAAAACAGGTTACGTCAATAAACCATATAACATAATGTCTACTCCAAAAACTCCAAGCGCTTGAGAATTTCTTCGCGAATGACATTCTGCATTTGATCAAATGTAGAAGAAAATCTCCGTCATTGGGTGCGGCACCATGTAAGTGCGGAAACCGTTTATACGTGCTTGCATACTTCGGAACAGTGAACGCGACATTCCTCTGTCCCGATGGGACTAATAGCATGCAGTTTGCAACAGACTTAGCTGGACGTAGTCAATTACTGCCACCGCATCAAAATAACTTGATAGATACAGGTAATGATGACAGGAAAACTGCTGCTGTGAAATTCGTTTGTAAGTCCACTTGAATAGCATAATATAGGTGCGCGTTTCGTAAGTTTGGCTAACACTCATAACGCTATGCGCAGTATAAATATAACAATAACTATGTTAACAGAATGTTTCAAGTTGAATATACGAAATGACAAACAGTTTCCTACCTCGAAAATAATGATACTATTTTTGTGATGGGAAACCTGTATTACGACAAAATTACCCGAACGGGATAATAATGAAACAGTGTGCTAAACCATGCTAGGGACGGTTTTTGCACCTGCAATACCTATTCTCCGACTGTAAGACTCTCCTTTCCTAAACACCGATTTCACTCCAATATCAGACGGAAATCAGACACACAGAACTTGTCCATTTTCTTAGGTAGCTAATCATAAACCCTGTCGTTATAAGTTTTTATAACATTCCGATCGGTCATGCATCAGTCGATATAGTTTCTAGCGATGTCCAACCCCTTTCGTCTTCCACGCACCAATTTTATTCCGGAAGCGGACGGAAATCAAACTGTCGACCGTCTGATAGTGCCAACAGGGTTCAAAATTCAATGAAAAATTCTTTTTGTCCTTTTTAATAACTGAAACTATTTAATATATAATTCTTTAATTTTTATATATACATAAATGCATTCCTCGTTAAACATTTCACAATGTACATGTTCACTTAGAAGCAAAGTGCGTAACTTATTCAACATTACGTACTCTTGTCCTTTTTTCAAACAGGATGCACGGCTGTAGCTACTTAGTATTTCATTAAAGTTTCAAGTACAACTCATGCGTATCTTACAGGCGATTATAGTGGATTCTTTTCGTTGGTAGTCGCCATCGTCTTTAATCAACTTTTTCTTACCGACAGATTGTTGCCTCACTCGTCTTTGTAGGTTTGGTGGAGACATGCCACATTTTATTGTTTATATCAATACTTTATTGACTGTTGCAATTTCTGTACTATGTGGCTGCAATGCACAAAGTTGGTGGAACTATGTAGAAAATATTAATCCATATATACCTCCGCAATTTACTCCTTTACCAAACGTGCGGTTTACTCACAAGGCGGAACTTTATCATTATGGACCAATGGCTAATGATGTAATAGTGAACATTCCAAAGTGATATACCTTATTCGCAATATCACTTTCTAGGGCTGGAATGGGAATGTTTATTGGCTTTTCAACACTTACAGATTATGATTATACATGGTCTCAATGGCCACCCAAGAAAGGACGTCTTGTCAATGTGTTTCTCGGGATACCTTACGCTGCCCCGCCTACAAAAGATGAACGCTTTCGAGTAATTTGTATATTTCTTTCTCTAACACTACTTATGGATAGGTGCCTACTCCAGCTTTCTTGGATACCAGATATCCTTGGCCTGCGAAGTATTATAGGTCAGCATGTATGCAAAATAGTTTGGTCCTTGAAAACTACATTAAAAATTTTTCTGATTTCAACGAAGACTGCTTGTACCTTAACGTTTTTGTCCCAAACGTAAGTTGCTAATATTTAGCAAGTTTTGCTTTCCATAACTTTTGATGCTTTTAAAATGGTGGTAGGTTAACACACAAAAAACCACAGTAAGTTGTCATTTTCTAATTAGTATATCGCGTGTTTGTACGGTGCCATGAAAAGCACTTTTGTTCTATGCAGATGTTCTACCTTGACCGTGAAAAACTTCTTTAGCTGTTCTGCTCTCGTCTTAGCCTGTTGTTACGAAACCTTTCACGAATTGCAGTGTTGGAGGAGCAAAACAAAATAATCGATCCTTGTTGAAGCTGCTTATTTGGAATGTATTTCATATTTTATTGTGTATGGTTTAGTTAGCGAATTAACTAATTCCGTATTACCTATTTTAAATTTATTTTACTCCGGTACCGAACTTCACGATAAAGACATAGATATGGAATCCTGTTTGTTCGCTACTACTGTTAGGTACGTGGTAGTTTTTTACTTAATTTTTATTTGAAGCAGCTTCAGGGGTGAGTTGGCATCTTTGATAAATTTAAAAGGTGTAAATATTAGCGTTTTCTTTACACCGAAATTAGACACTAACTGTTTGTTTTGCGCTACTGTATTGCAAAATTTAGTCTCAGTTAAACCGCAGTAAATTGCAGTTAGCAGTATGCTTACACCGATTGCCACTGCTAACGGTTTATACCTGTATATTTTCAGCTTTGCATTAGTTGCGTCATGCTCTTTTATCCAACGTGGTTCATGCCCGCACTCTGTTGTTGGCCAGTTAATAAAAATTTATTGCCGTCTAGCTTTGTCCAAATACTTTTCCGCTGTCTAACTAATTGGTGGATTTTCAAGTTTTGTGGATACAGATAGACTTTAGACGAAATTAATTAGCTGGAATAGGGTTACCTACTCAAAATATCAGCGCATATGCTTGGTACTATCGAACATCCTTACAGACGTGGAACAAATATGCTCTTCTTAATTAGTGTGCAGGGGGTTACATGAGAAATCACCTTTCAATATACGGAATATTACCTATGGGACCTTACAAAATTTATGTGGTCGAACAATATTGCATGAAGTTGCGTGCAGCATAAACTGGTAACCTAAGTTTTAAAGATTCGAAATCTTGCGTGAGATTTTTCACGTGAACCGCATTTTACAAGTTGTATTAAGGTCATGTACTTTTGTTTTTTAATCTTAAAAGTCTTTCAGACACCATGAACGATCATACAAAAATTGTCCTCCTTGCTAATGAATATAGCACCGATTTACTGTTAGTAAAGCTTATTATAAACGACTGCTTTCAGTTTAGGTTGTCCATGCTGCTGTGAAATGTTTGCCTGCAAACCTGAAATCACTCAAAATGCTGTTGGTTCATTTATGCTAACAGAAAAGCATTCAGCTGTATGAGGTTTATTAAGAGATCCGACACGGTGTTCAGGAAGTATATTTTTCGTATTTAAAGTCCTGTGCAGAAGTCTATTCCGTATAGCCTGACACGTATAAATCGATAATTACACAAAACAAAATTAATTTACTTATTCACACGTAAGCTTTTCCTCTATGGCTTTTGAGCACCCATACTTTCAGCTCTTGTCTTTTAAAATGACTGAATACGGCAAAATCCATTAGTTAGGATTTATGTTCTTATCGTTATTTATGCTATCTCTTTTGTTTTATACCAACGAATTGTCGAAGGAAAACATTTTAATAGGGAAAGTAGTTTGGACTTTTAGTTTTCCTAGGAAATTAAAAAAATATGTGCAATTTGTTCTGAAACCACACATTTGGCATCCGCAGTTTTAGTAAGTGATCGGCGGAATCGATCAACACGAAAAATATATACCACTGGTAGCCGGTTTTGAATTGCCACAGCGACACTACAACTTTCAATGTTTGTCTACAAATAGACATAGCAATAAAACCATGTTTGTAAAGCCGTAACTAATTAGATAATGTCTATTGTTGGCAGTCAATGTAAATGCGGGTTGGAGCAGACAGATATCGTGACTATGATAGTTTATACATGTGCTCTCGAACTGAAAGATGGCGGAAATGAACCTGCTAAGCCTTGGTAGTGCTGAAGATGAATAACTGGTACTGCTGCACCCGTTGAAATGGCATTTAAGTTTCAATTAGGAAATATTAGACAGTTTCTGATCACCGAGTTAAATAACACATTTGTGGCACATAGAAAATTTAATGGTGTCGTTTTGAAACACTTACAAGTGTGTGCTAAGGTGCGACATTGCTCTTTCTTATGCTTCTATGAAAGCCTTCTCGACTGTTAGAAATACTTTCCAGTACAGGCTCTCATTTATTAAGAAAGGAATCACAGTTAGATAACACTGTGTTTAGATTTGTGGCTACTAGTCGCCACTGACATCGCATGTTTTTACCAGCTAGCCCATTTAGGCAAAAGTGGGTTTATCCAAAAATGAGTCTGCTTGAAACCTTTATGTCGGATTAAACTATCAATCATAATTATTTATTGCAATTACAGTTGATTGTAACTATCTACCAAAACCAAAAAGTCGCAACTGCTGATTGTCGAATTTCTAGGTATTAATGTCTGATTAAAAGTAGTTTACATGTTTGTTCCACTACGATGAAAAAAGACAGTCCACCAAAGGAAACGTTTCCTATAAACCAATCGGGTTTTTACTCAGTTAATGTGTAAGAAAATTGGTGTCTGAAGTTCTCAGGTAACTACTGTAGCATTATACTTACTAATGTTTGGTACATTAAGTTTCAGTTAAGCTCAACAATGTACGCAATTGCGTATAATTGTTCGCTTGTTATTACCCAATACAATATTCCTCCAACTTCCAATTTTCACAGCGAGTTGAATACTAAATAGTACGGGCCAAGCAGTCTATGGTTAACATATGCGTGATATCCATAGTCCCTACTTTTTAACATCATTATTCTTTCCATCATTGAATACTGCGGCATCATTAGTGAGAACTTTTGTAGGAGCGGCAGAAAAACTCTAGAAAACCATTCACCACATGTGCATTTTGGACTACAGCGGATGTAACTAGCAACTTCACATAGAACTTCTTTAGTTTTGATGAATGACACATGCCTTTTCTTCTACACAATCTGCTAAGCCTGAAACTTACTCCGATCTGTCAACCTTAAAATAGTAACAATTTCACTGGAAAAATTCGCAACTAGTGATGTGTGCTAAATGTACGAACTACACGGCAGCCAATCGCTGACTTCTTCATCATCAGCTACACTTTTATGTGGAATTTCCTACCAACCAGTTGAGACTTGTGCAAACACAGTAACATTCCGCATTTTGCTTGAAAGTTACCGCAACCAGAACTCAATGACCGTCATGTTTGTACTAAAAAAAGCTCCGGATACTTCCTTCCTCGATAGACCGAACAAAATATGTAACCAGTGGAAAAAGCTATTTACATAAAGAACCAAGTATCAAAAGAAGCTTCGTATCTCAGCGTGCTCTAACAGTACTGATAATACCGAGTGAAGAGCATGCTTACGTCGAGGATAACTGCAAGTATGCACACGCAACGCCAAATGCCTAGGTCTTGCGCTGCACTTCTTAAGAATTTTTTCCTCTCCACCTTCTCTCATTGTGGTTACTGTACGCTTTTTTGGGTCGGATTTACTTGAGCTATTACCTGAGCTATTGGACGCAGCATTATCGACTACGATTCCAGATTCCAGCAACACCAGCCGTTTTGAACGGCGCCCATGCCTAAATCTATACGCACAATAGTATAGCTTTGGGATCCCATTCCTCAGTTGTGCAACCTCATTGGACACAGAATTCTTGCAGCTCTCCAACGATTCTGAGCTAATTCCAACACGATGTTCCTCAAGAAGGTTGTCAATGAATATGTGCTCCCCATTCTGTCTCCGCATATCGATGCATTCAGTGTCAGAAACCCGTTCCTGCGCAGTCAGCGCGGACATTCATCGGCTCATCAACTAACAAAGGACAACAAAGGGAAAAATGGACTTAGAGAGGGTGTTACGAGTGGGCACTCGGTTAGCGCAGGGTCTACGGAGACAGTCGTATCCTGAACGCTTGCTCAGTTTGGGGATGTACTCAATGCACTACCGAAGGATAAGAGGGGACCTGATTCTCACTTATCGTATTTTGACGGGTAAGGTTGGCCCGGACTTGTCAGGGCTATTTAGTCCCGCTACGTTACCTAATCTCCGCGGTCACCCACTGAAACTGCATAAACCACGTTCTTATGGAATTACGGCAGGAACTCCTCTGTCGATCGCTGAAATTCGCTTCCAGATCACGTAGTGAGGGAACCTACGGTTAAGGGTGTTGCGCACCAGCTCCATGATCTTGGGTGGGTACACCAAACCTTTCGTTTTCCTAACTGACTCACCTTCACTTTTCAGTTCTTTTTTATTGACTCAAATATCTTGGTATTCTACTTACTTAGCTCTTTCCACTTTCTCTTCTTTCCTTCTGAGTTTACAGTTCTCTCTTACTTCACGTAACCGGCCCAGCAGGGACTGCTAGGGCCGCGTCAGGGTCTACGGTGGCCTATCGGATAGCTTTCCGACCATAAGTGGCGTTCGCCAGGTTTGTCCGATTTCCCCATTTCTATTCAATTTCGTCATGGATTCTATCATGGAGTATTTCTTTGCAGATTCTCACGATGTAGGCGTTGAAGTGCTGCCTGGTGAAAGGTTAATTGATCTAGATTATGCGGACGATATCGTCTTGCTGTTCGACGATGATGCGGCGGCACAATCAACCGTGAATAACCTGTCTAGAGTGGTCCCAATATATGGTATGCGCTTTGCACCTTCAAAGTGCAAAGTGTTGCTGCAAGATTACCAGCCACTTTATGACCCCTTGACCCTTGCTAACGAGGAGCTCGAGGTGGTTGCTCAATTCACTTATCTCGGCAGCTGCATCAGCAACGATGGGCGCATAGAAACTGACGTCAGCTCACTCATTGCGAAGGCCAAAGCTGCCTTCTTAAACCTGCGGCATCTATGGTGATAGAAGGGAATTTCTTTCC